TACTCTGGGAAAATGCCCAAGCTCTCTCAGTAGTTCTTGAGTTTCATCCAAGCTCCCAAAGCAGCCTGGTGATATACAAGATGCACAGACTGGCTCCCATCTCAGTTCAGACGTCCCAGACAACAGCCACCCTGAACCTGGGTGATTTCTCAGCCCTGTCCTAAAGAGCTGCAAAGGAGCTGACTTGTGAAGGCTTTTAAATAATTCCAAAAATAATTCAGTAAGTGATTAAGTGTGGCATTTATATTTTAATACAGTACAGTGAAGCTCAGTATGTTGAAAATACAAGAATTTTGCCTTTGTTCAAAACATGCACATACATGCATATGCAGCGTCTAGATTATCATCACATGTTGGACGGGAATGCCTAAGCCTTACTTCACGTTTTCGTGTCTGTCTTGTGAGCGGCAAAGTCATCCCTAGTGTCTAATTCTACCCACTTCTTTTTTTATATGTGTATTTTATTCCTGGTGGTAAGGAAGCGAAACTAAAAGTTGCTTTTCTTCCCATTCTGTGCTTATTGCATGACTGTAACCTTTGCTCAGGACAGCATTTTCATGGGTAGGAGGTTCAGCCATGATTGACACACATTCCACCAGTAGAGTGCACACCAGGTAAACCTACCAGGTACCAGGGATCAATGAAAATGTTCAGCTGGATATTTTCACCTGTAAAAGTACATACACAACGCTGCTCAATACTGTCGTGTGCCCTGCAGAAATGTCTCACAGGCATAAGCACGTGGTGTGCTGTTGCTCCCTCCCTCTTCCGCCAGCGCCCAGCAGCCCCAGGTAGGTCCTTCTGTAGGCTCCTCCTCAACTGCACACCTCCAACCTCCTCTTGCAGGACCAGTCCCACCTCGTGAGGTCCTGTGTGCTTTGCCTGCCTTTCTCAGTTCAGTCTTGATCACGCAGGCTTTTTGACCACCAACTAGTCGAAAAACTTAAGTCTATAAAGAACACCTCGCTACACTAGTTGTCCTCCACCAGAAGTTCACATTTCTCCAAAAACACATTTTTTACTCACTTCCTCTTCTCCATCCTACTCTCCTCAATCCTGTTCATTATTTGTTTTACCCCTTTGCTTCATTACCATCATTAACTTCAGCTATCCTGCACAGATATGAGCAAAAAGCCTTCCTGAATGAGCTTTTGACAAGACCTTGTGTTTTTGGATACCATCACTCTCTCCATCTTCCCAGGGTAGGGTTGTTGCAGATCAGGGGATACACCACAGACAACATTATTTACTTTCCTAGAAAGATCCCCATTTTGGTGCAAATCTCTCCTCTGCATCTGACTTTACTAGAACATCGCATTCCTCCATTTCTTTCGGTATCCACAGTCATTTATATTACCTTCCAAAAAGTAATTATTTGGAACCAGTTAAGCCTGTACATGAATTCTGCCTTCGTTTAAAACACATTGTACATATGTATATATTTAGACTGTCATTAAATATTTAAGAGGCTGTCTTCAAACTTCAGCAGCAGCACTGTTTATTCACTTAACCCTTTGTGAAGCGGAAAGCTTGACGCTGAAGTCCTACTGTGGAGGAATTCAGAAAGCCCAGCTGCCTTAGCGCTGGGTGACAAAGGCCAACTTTGACAGTCAAGGGCACCGTAAAGAAACCAGAGGTTTTGTTTTCCTTTACATCCTGTTTGCTAGTAGTCTAATCATAATAATGCAATTCATTTTAGTCTGCATCAGCTTTATCTGCTCAGATGCATAACTGGGATGCAAATTAATTAGCTGTAATATACAGATAGATCTTTCAATACAATTCAGGGAGACAGAGTCAAATACACACATGCCCGTCCCTCCTTCCTCCAAATGAAATAAGACACTCTATGCATTTTCCACAGGTCAAGAAGTCACCTTTCTTGGCTTTTTCAATCTCCAAGAGAGGAAACAATGCAGCCTGCGGACAGGTGGACCTTTTTCGAACCCAACACCAAACGTCGCACTGCAGATGAAACCCCATCACAACTAACTCGCAGTGTGCACCAGCACCAAGCATAACACAACATAACCCTACCACCCTTTTAACGTGAGATTATCATGTTTTAAAATCTGGTCACCTAATTTACCCGGCTTAGCGAGGCCTCTACCTAGAGCCAATCATTCATATTTCGCCCTGGCAAGGACCGGTATCTCAGGGCCAGCTCTCCGTGGCCAGGGCACCCACATTCCTGCCCTTCATGTGAAGTGAAATAGTGTAAGCGTCACAGCAGAGGATGGGAAAACCAGCACAGAAGAGTGCGATATGCAACTTTCCCAACTCTATATGGATACGCAAATATATGTGTCTTGGAAAATGCATTTTTCTTGTTTTTGATTAAAACCTTGAGGATGTGTTGTTAAATCCAAGCCCCACAAGAGCAGCTTTGCATGCAGTTCTCAAGGCCCAACTGTGTTTAGAGACATTTCTTTGCCAAGCACTACAGCCTCGTTCATCATCGGCTGCTGCTTTAGGCGGGGTGAATAGCAGAGTCCCTCCTGCAGCTTTCACACCTGGGTTACACATCCACACAGAAGCATTTCAACTGGCTGACCGCTGTTACGCTACCCCGGGGATGTGACCTTGTTGGATTTTATAAAGGGAGTGGAGAGCCAGGCGTGGTCTGTATTTGCACGGGAGAGACAGAGAATGCAGGCCACCGCAGGACGCAGTGCTGGGAGATCAGCAGATGGCATACTTTGCTGTGAATCGGCACCGAAGCAGGAGCATGAAGGGGCAGCAGCACGCTCTGGCAGGTGCGCTCGCTCAGATAAGATGCCAGGTTCAAGAGCTTCAGCATTTGCAGTTGTTCGCCTGAGCGAGCCTGTTCATCTCAGTGGCCTGACCACAGATTCAGCCTGCCTCAATTCTTGGAGTAATCTTATTTTCTTGTAATCATCTTTTTTTACTTCCTGTCTTTAACAGCAGCGTTGCGACGAACGTTGAAGTCCCCATACACCACCCCAGATATGGCCGCATTTTAGCAGCAAGTATGGTTTTTTGTACCAGGTGGGTTAATGCTTCCGTATCCCGAGGGTTGTTATGTACACCCCTCGCTACAAAATAAGCGTCAAATACACTTTAGGAGGGGCAGAACTTATGGGGAGAGGTCTATCTTTTATTAGACCAAATGGAATAGCTGTAAAAAAATTGAACGTGGCCTTACTCATGTCAAACCACGGGAGGGTATGTTTGTTTTATGACAATTTGACAGCACACATGCTGTACAACACAGCAAATAACCAGGATTTTTCCTATCTGTAAATCAGCTCCAATTGCTGAGATCTATGCCAAAAACCAGCACAGCCTGCAAGGCTACAGTTGTCAGGTCTCCCTTCTTCCCCCCCCAGAAAATATTCCCTAAGGGAGATCACGAGCCAAAGGGACTCCCAGGTCACAAATAACATGAGCTTAGCTCAGTGGCTCTACTGACCACTTGGTACCTCCGCTTTATTGCTTCCACGTGTGCATCATTTCACCACTCGTCCAACAGTTTTCTGAAAGTGAATGGGATTAGAAGTCCACCAAGTATTTGCACTGCTGTCTTCTCCCACTCTGCGGCGGATTTACAGTAACCGAAGGGCGAGCAGAGTTCGCCCAGCACACGCAGGCTTCCCGGAGTGGCAGTGCTGACCTTCCCAGTCTCTCCCAACCCCCCGTGGCTAGTTTCGGTGGAGAAACAGGCAGCCAGCTGGAAATTTTGATCAGCCTTAATGCCATCGTAGTTTCTTCCCGACTGCTCTCCAGGAGTATTTTTCCACCCACGTTCCTCTATGCATCGCAAACCCCTCCAGCCGTTGGCAGCTCTCAGTGCAGCTCCACCACAAGCTACTAACCCAGTGCTATACGGCTGGTCTGTTTTAATTCAGCGTCTAACTCCTGCTACACGGGAAACATTCTCATGCAAAAAACTTCATATATAGACACCTACTCTGCAGCAAACATAGCAGTGGTCGGCATTTAAATGAACTAATCAGTTGCAAATGGCTTAGTCAGCATCGCAGTTCTGGAGGTAATTCCCAGGAAGCGATTTTCCCGGCAGCTATATATACAAACCTGAAAAGCAGACTGGAAGACGAGGGTAGCACCACAGCAACACAAAATTTGGCTACATAGTGACATCAACAAATAAAAATAAAAATCGGGGAAAGCCAAGAAACCAAGCATTCACAGAAAACACACACTGTGCTCGCACCACTGGCATATCCTCTCACATGTAAAAATCAGAAGCCCAGACACAGGACATGAACACAGTCAGCGTTTCTTTTTCCTCCTTTCTTTACTGATGCTGTGCCAGTTTGAACCGAGAGGAAAAAGACGGCAAGGGAAGTTACTGCCTCGTCTGTGGAGACACGCAGACACCAGCCAGACACTGGGCAGTGCTTTTTGGAGAGAACATCCCAGCAATCACCCTCAGCAACTAACCCACCGCAGGAGCAAGGCTCACGCATGCATTGAAGAGGGTCGAGGACTTGCACAGACTTAGTCTCGGGGCAGGTAAGGCACAGGGCATCCACCCTAAGAGGCACTGGGGGGATGAAGGGCAGTGCCAGATGCCAGAGCATCCTCCAGCAGCATCTTCGCCGCTGGCCACATTTGTGAAGCCAACGGGCTGC